CCGCCGCCGGTCGCAACACACGATTTACGGGGCCATACGCGCACGCACACCGGACGCAGCACGACGTGGTACGACCGCGCCGACCAGGACCGCGAGAGACCACGACACCGCGACACACCGCGCGACCGACGGTTTTTCGTCCGGTGGAAAAGATTTCCAGTCGAACCGACGCACTCGTGGACTGCGGCCGAACACCCTCTCCCCGGACCGACTGCGACTGCGACGACGACGAGATTATATTATTATCATAATAATTAACACGTTTTGTTTTTTATTATCATTATAATTATTGTTGTTGTTGTTGTTGTTATCATTATTATTATTATTATTTTATACCTGCCGCCGCCGCCGTCCTCTGACCGCTATTTTTCCTGGGACTTTGAGGCACCACTGCGATGTATTTTACATAATACGTTATACGAGTATATATAAAAATATTTTAATTTTTTTTTTTTTTTTTTTTTTAATACGTTTTTCTCGTTATCGTCGTATATACCGTACAGTCGGTTCCGGTGGCCAATCGCCGCGGGAAAAAATAAACCAGGCAAACCGCGACCCATTATAATAATAAAATATTTCGAAAAAATATCGATTTTCCAAACGAAACTCGCAACGGTCTTTGCCTCTAATCACCGCCGACACGTTATCGCGGAGTGGTGCAGGTGGTGGTCGTCGTTTCAAAATATACAAATTAATGTATATATAATATTATCCGAGATATACGATAAACGCGAGCGTGTCGTTGCAAAGCCGGCTCCTGCGACTTAATCCGAGGCGATAAATATTCACATTGTCGATGTTTAACCGATTCGTACGTAACGAGATGTCCGTCGTGATTTTGTGCAGGTAACTTTTATATTATTATTGTAGTTATTTTTGTATTGCTGTTGTTATTATCTTATTGTCTAGTTTTTTGAGGGATTTTAGAAAATAACGTTTTAATTAAATCATCGTCAGCGTTGGCGGTTGATATTACGGTGCCTAATTTTAAGTTGTTCTGGAGTAAACTTTTAATACTAAATCAACGATAATAAAAAATATTTACTCGTCGAACATGATATTATTCATGACTATAAAATATTATATAAATGACCTATGGCTATGTCATGTGTACACGATTATTATAGCCAGATATACTTATAACAATATTTTTAAATGCCATTCATAAAACAATCATATCTATAATATGATATTTCTATTATGATTTTATGCGAGCTTATTTATTTACGTATTATTTCAATATAAAGTATAAACAGACATTATACCATATTAATTATTGTATCACAGTAATAGCAGTATTGTGATATTCAACATCTCGCGTTATGATTGTGACAGTATACTTTCTGTGTAGTGTAATGAGTTAAAAATATGATAAATACGTAATGTAAATGATGAACAAGGAATTAGTTAAAAAAATATACGATAAGATTTTTTTTGATAATTTGTGTTTATACAGCTGAACGAATTTAATGATTAATAATATATATTTTTTTGATGATTTATATTTGTACACCTGAACAGAAGTAATTATATTTATTTTATTAAATCTAAAGTAATTAAATAAATTATGAATAATGATATACATGTATATCATTACATCTACCCCAGATTTTTTTTTGATGTTAAACATTTTTTTGAAACAAATTATTTAAATTAATATATCTATTAATTATTAAGCTAACTATGATTATAAAATGTATAACTTAACACTAATGATACAATGATATAGCAAGAGTGTAACTTTTTTTTTTAAATAACCATGTTATGTAGATGATTGTGTTAGATTGATAATCTCTTTTTATTTAGTTATAGCTTAATTGGTTTGTGATCGTTATTTTTCCTGTTTGTGTTGAGTATTTTTAAATCTTGATTTTTATCTTGATTTAAAATCAGTAGTGATTGTGGTTGTTCTTCATTTTGTTGTTGTGGTTGTATTTTGTGCATATTGTGCATTATATAATGTGTGATTCTACTAAAGATATCAACTACTAGTTTTACGCTCCATCCAAAAGTTTGGTATAACAATGATATGTTTAGATCTGGATTGATACATGTTAGAAATTATTCGCCATATGAAAAATATTTCTAGGAGGCCAGAGATAAATTCTCCAAATACCGTAAACCAGCCCCACATTTTTTTTAGTTTATTCTCTACCAATTGACTATAATGATGTTTTCATCGAATAGGGTATTTAATTTTAGTGCTTTGTCTATGGTCGAGAAGATCATAGTTTGTCTAGCTAGATTTTTTTGGGATGCTTCTATCTCTTGTGGAAGTACTAAGTATTGTTGAAAATCCTCCATGGTTTCGTAAGTGTATATCCCAGCTGTCATAAGGTGTTCTGAACTTTTGTAAGTCCATGTCTATTCTGTTGAAGGTTTTTAAGTTTGAGGTCTTTTTATTTCGCTTGCTTTTGACATGATTGCAAACCAATCACCATCGAGATAAAAGGCAGATAGAAGTAGATGATTGCAATCTATTTCTGTGCCATATTTTTGTAGTGTTTTAGTTTTGGGAGCCATAAAATATGATTGGTTGTTATATTCCACTGGTAGTTCGTTGTAGCGTGTATTTTTATATAATATTTCAACTTCGACCAATTTACATTTTATTAAATATATTATTTCACCGGCTTTGATGGCTGTTAAACCTGGGCTTTCGCCCATTGTATACGCAAATTCGGTGAGATTTTAAGTTGCTAAGCTCAATTTTTGTATTAGTACTTTTCTTTTTAGTTCCTATTGTTTTTGTAATACATCTATGTATAAAGTTGTAATTGATGATTTGAACTGATTTTCTATGTATACTAATTTGGTATTAATATATGCCATTAAATCTATATTTTGTGGTGAGATATTTTTTGTTTTGAAATGGCTGAAAAATAGTGGGTCTACTCGTATAAGTATATTTAATTGTGACTTATGAGTGTTCTGTTTGAATAACTGGTATGTGACATGCATATGTTTGTTTAATGCCTTTGAGAGCAAAGACTATTTTGTCGGATTCGACCAGATATGTGTGTTGATTTTTATTGGTGGTTAATGTAACAATAAATGCTGGTCCATCATATAAAATTGTAAAGTAGTAAGTGTTGTAATCATACGTTTTTAGATTCCATATTACTTTGCTTTTGTCGAGATCACATATTCAATGTGAATATATTCTTTGGGTATTTTATTCGTTGATTTTAAAGTTTTAGTTCCTGGTCTCCAGTGCGAGTTGTTGACATAATATAACATTATAGATTGCCTTTTTATTCCGTAAATTATACCTGTTTTGTTTGAGCCATTGTATATACTATATATATGTATCATGATTATAATAATTTTCTATTGATGCTAGTTCGTCATCAGACCACCAATAGTATGAAAGCGTAGATAAGTTAAGTAAATCTAATAAATCAGCTATAGTCGTGATATTGTTTATTTTGTTATTATTTAATGCGTTACATATAGCACATATGCCACAGTTGCCGTCACTTTGAACATTTTCCTGGTTTAATGAATAATAATACATTTTTTTTTTTTTTGATAATTTGTGTTTATACAGCTGAACGAATTTAATAGCTAATAATATATATTTTTTTTGATGATTTATATTTGTACACCTAAACAAAAGTAATTCTATTTATTTTATTAAATCTAAAGTAATTAAATAAATTATGAATAATGATATATATGTATATCATTACAGTAGATTTGCGTTTTTATGTAGACAATTCGATTACTACTCCATATTAAATTAAATTATATCCTATGTTTTTAACCTTCCAATACTATTCTATTTACAATCATCTATTGTGATTATTTTTTTAAATAGATTTTATTGAAATAATTTTTATAATATAATTGCTATATGATAAATTAGTATTATAAACGTTAAATTCTTAATTACATTTGTCTTTCGATTTCCATGTACTTATTTTCATAGAAAACACTTAACTGCTTAATTCGAGAGTAATTTTATAAATAATATCAAATAACTATAAATGAATTCTATCATGAAATATAAAAATATTATATACACCTTCTCATTTATAAATTTAACTGAAATTTTTTTAGTATTAAATTTATAATCGATATTACCCTTTTATTTGTACATATTCTAATTTATTATTTTTGTACTTCGAAAACTTTGATTAATATAGATAAAATTATATGTAATATTTTTTTAATATTCATATGAAATTTAACGATAAAATATATTCTTTTAATTAAATATGTTTTTCAAAATTCTAAAAATATAATAATTAATGATATGTATTTATAATTATTAATTAAATATATTTCATATTTATATAGCATTTAATGATAAAATAAATTATATTAATTCAATATATTTTTTTGATGTCAAAAATACAGTAATTAATGATATGTAGTTAATTTTAAAGTAAACTTTTAACAAAATGTTCAATTTTGGTTATTTATGGTTTTATTAATTATTACTGTTAATACATTTTTGAATTTTCGAAAATGTATGACGGTTATTTAAAAAATGTATGGTATTATACAACCATATTAAATTTTATGTACAACATTTTTATTTTAAATTAAATGAGTAGAAAGCAATACTTTTAAAATCCAAATTCGAATTTGTGATGTTAAAATTAAGTAAGTACATTATTTACACATTTTTTTCTTAAAATTATCGATAAACGATTTTTCATTTTAAAAAAAAAGTTTTTACTACAATTTTATAAAATATATGACCTATTATACATAATATATTTAACATTTGATTTACATGTGTATTATTTATGTTTACCTACAATCTACATAGTAGGTAAAAATTGATTTTATTTTATCAATGAGAATAATAACTAAAAGTTTTATCATTTAAATATCAGTCGTATATGGGTATATGTACAAAATAATGTATACATCATTTACATTTGATATTTGATTAATTTAGACTGAAGAAAATAATATAAATTATTATTTTATTTTAAAGATATTCGGTGGTTATGTATATTTGGCGTACACTAAAATCGAAATTTTCCCCATGTAAAATTGGAAGATTACGTTGTTTAGTAGTATGATGGTCATTGCCAAATGGGCTTATTGCCAAACAATTCAGAGAAAAATTATTTTCCGAACGCGTTTTCGTGTTGAACATTATTATCAACAAGATTTGTATCTAATAATTGTTTAAATATGACAGTTGCAAAATAAATCTAGGAAATGAGTAGGATGCAGTGACGTGAGATAATACTGATTTTGAATCAAGAATGTAATTCGATATGTACTTGCATATTTCATCATTTTATGAAGTATTAGATAAATTTGTCAAATTGTAAATACGTACATTTTAAAATGCACGAACTATAAAAATTAAAATTTCCAAAATTAGCTTCACATTTATAACTAACAATTAATATAATATATTACTGTATATATGTAAGTAATGTTTATTATAAGTGATTTATAATTAATTTAATACTTGCATTTGTAATTTAATCAATGCTATATTGTATTATCAAACAATTTAGTTTTGTAGTTTTATATTTTTGATTATAAATAATTTGCCGTCAGGTGATAAACGATAAATAATTTTAGCCGTTTGCCCATGAACGCGTTATATTCAAATTTTAATCATATTATTTAGCATTTAAAAATTTGTATCTACTTAGTTAAAATATAATTTAGTATTAATGCACTATCCGTTGTTTAACAACTAACTAGTAATTGTAAAAAGAAATTGCTGTAACTTTAGTATGAACAACGCTGTTTTTATTTAGAACGTTAGTTTTTTTTTTTTTTGTCTTTATTTATAATGCTTACGTGGCGGCATTGCGAATTTGTTGCTATTATAGACTATATATTTAACAGTGTATTTTGGATGTATA